GACCAACACACGGTTTCTCTCTCTGAAGGAGGCGGAACAGCCACAGGACCAGGAGCTGCCTCTGACCAGCCATCGACTATGCATGCAGTGCGCTCTACAGTGACGCTTCAGGGCCCTCTCTCCCAGGCGGCTCCACGGACCACACTGCCCTAGTCCTAGGGCCTCCATTACCCCGACACCTCTTGTAGATGGGGAGGGGATAAGAGGCAGTCAAAGTGCTGATCATCCAGGTGGCGCAGAGGCTAAAGCACTCGGCTGTGATTCAAACCCTGCAGCCACTCCACGGGCCAAAGATGTGGCCATCTGCTTCCATAAGGACTTAGAGCCTTGGAAACCCTGTGGGGCAGTTCCACTCTGTCCAACAGGGTGACCAGGAACAGGAGTTGCCCTTGACGGCAATGGTTTGACATTCAGTGGTCTCCTATGTGCTTTCTCCAGTTAGCTTTCACAAGACCTTAAGTAAGGTTATAGGGAATTATTCACTAATTCATCAAAAAAAGGACTTGGAGGGGGAATAGGTTAGATTATCATTATCCCATCCTACAGGTAGAAAACAACAGCCTGACCTATGTCCATTAAGTGAGCTCAGTGCTTTTTCTTGACTCTACCCTGGATGTTCAACTCCATCACCTAGGGCCGTGGTTCTCAACCTTCCTAATGCTGTGACCCCTTCATACAGTTCCTCCTGTTGTGGTGACCCCCAACCATAACATTACTTTCATTGCTACTTCAAAACTGTAATTTTGCTACTGTTATGAATTGGGCAACCCCTGTGAAAGGGTCGTTCGACCCCCCCCCCCCAAAGGGGTCGAGACCCACAAGGTGAGAGCTGCTGACTAGATATTCAGTTTACACAACTCACACAGTTTTCAAAAGTGTTTCTAAAAACAGCTACTTTCTGATTAAGATGTTTTGTTTGTTTCTTTTCTCAGTATCTTACCTTATGAGGCTGAAACTAGTGGGGTTTTCTGCCTGAGGAAGAAAGGCATTATCAGTCAAAAATGACTTTTATAACTCGAGCTCTAAAAGTTAAAAAATGCATCAGACTGTTGACACCAATGAGTAAGTATTTAGCATACCCGTGGGCTTATCTTATACTAATTATGGTGGTATAAGAATACTTGATAACCTTTGGAATTCCTTTTAAAAAGCAACATATACACATCACTAAGCTGAAATTAGCTCTACCTTTGAGATGCATCTTTATGTCAGTCTAGGGATGACTCTCCCTTTTAATAAGAGGTATAAAGAGATTCTGAAATGGGAATTAAGGCTTCAGAATACCAACTTATTAAAACCATGATTCACTTAGTCTTTTTCATGTCAGTCATAAGGTCTCAAGTTATTTCAATATAAGTGGAGCTTGACGGATATTGGAAAAATGATTATTTTTCAATTATGCATTTGCTCAATTTCAAAGATTCCTTATATGTAAATTTGATATGACCACTGTACTTCAAATGAGTCAGACAGAGGAATCCATTGAGATCAGAAGTCAGAAGGAAACTGGAAAGTACAGCGAGTTTAGCTCAGTTGTTACCTTTATGTGCCGTGAAACCGACCTGATCTTCAGAAAGGTAAAAGCCAATGAAACAACCCACCTACACACGAATCAAAAGCACCGTTCTCTAAAGCGCGAAAATACTTACAAGTTAGGGAGGTATTGGCTAGGTCTCAGCCAACTGATGTAATACACAGCTGAAACAGGAGAGGGCAACGAAGATTAACAAATTACAAAGATTGGCTCCCACAGGCTAAGGTTCCTGGAAATGGTTGCATTTTCACCCAAATTATAAACATCTGCTATGTGAACAAAGATATCGGAATTCTTTTAAAAGGAATTTTCAGATAACTGGTCTGTTAAAAAAATCACTACCCAATGTTCTTAGGCCATCCCGTCTGTCAGCTGCAGGAAGGAATACGCAGCCAGCAGTAAGGGCAGGCTAGGTCGGAGAGCAGACAGACACCACCAGTGGGCCTGAAGACTGAGCAGACTGTTCTTTACGCAGTCTGAGGACTAGGGAAACGGGGCGCAGAAACAGGAAGTAAATGGAAGGGAGCTTAATGTTTGTAATATACAATGTTGGAAGTTTTTTAACCAAGACTGAAAAAAAGACAGTGACATTTTCGGTATATTAAGTAAGGGATACTTTATCCTTCATTTAATTTTTCTACGTTGGCAGGGGTGGGGGTGGCATCCAAGCCTCCAATTCAAAATAGAGTAAATTTCCATGATTTCGTTAATAACTACATCAATGAACATTCCATTAGAATAATTCTGAAATGGTTTCAAAGAAGAAAAAGGGGTTTTTCAGAATCTTATTTTATCAATTATACTTAACCAAAACACTTGAAAGATACAGGTTTTGTTTCTCTGTGAAAATTGCTTTTTAGTGCCTGATCTGATCCCACCACACCGAGGCAAAACACTAAGGGTGTGCAACAAAACAGCAAGAGGAACAGAGCAAGGAAGTCCCCAGAGAATACCAAAAATAGACTTTGGGGCCAGGGCTTGGCACCCCATCAGACTCGACTGGAAAACACTCCTAAAGGCCAACAAACAGTCCTTGAACTAACTATAAGCTTTTCTTTGTTGTTGTTGTGTTGTTGTGAGGTTTTTTGTTTCTTTTTTTTTGACATTGGCTTTTTGTTGTTGTTGTTTTGTTGCTTGGTTTTGCTCTGTCTTGTTTTTGTGAAGGTTATTATCTCCGCAGGTCTGTCTAAATAAGATAGGCTGAATGAACAATCTAGAGGAGAAAACAACGGGACTGATAGTTCCAGGGGGACATGGGAGAGAGGGATGTGGGGGGAAAGGAAGTGATATTAACAAACCCAGGGACCAGGGAACAACAAGTGATCCAAATTGGTGGTGAGGAGCATGTACGAGGCCTGATAGGGTGTGATCAAGGGTAATGTACCTGAGAGGAATTACTTTAACCCAAATGATGGCTGAGCATGATAGTGGGACAAGAGGAAAGTAAAAAGAAATAGAGGAAAGAGCTGGGTGGCAAAGGGCATTTATAGAGGTCTAAATAAAGGCATGTACATATGTAAATATATTTATATATGAAGATGGGGAAATAGGTATATGTGCATATATTTATAGGTTTAGTATTAAGGTAGCAAATGAACGTTGGGCCTCCACTCCAGTACTCCCTCAATGCAAGAATACTTTGTTGCATTAAACTGGCATTACATGATGCTCACCTTCCTGACACGATTGCTGAAGACAAAGTGAGTGCATAAGCAAATATGGTGAAGAAAGCTGATGGTGCCCGGCTATCAAAAGGTATAGCATCTGGGGTCTTAAAGGTTTGAAGGTAAACAAGCGGCCATCTACCTCGGAAGCAACAAAGTCCACATGGAAGAAGCACACCAGCCGGTATGATCACAAGGTGTTGAAGGGATCAGGTATCAGGCATCATCCTAACAAAAAATCTTACCACAGTGAATGAGAGGGGGGAGTGTGGAGTGGATACCCAAAACCCATTTGTAGGCCACTGGACATCCCCTTGCAGAGGGGTCTCGGGGAGGAGACGAGCCAGACAGGGGTGCTATGTAGCAATGATGAAAAATACAACTTTCCTCTAGTTCCCAAATGCTTCCTCCCCCTCCGCCTGCCCCCCCACCCCCAGCCCACTATCATGATCCCAATTCTACCTTGCAAGTCTGGCTAGACCAGAGAATGTACACTGGTACAGATAGGAACTGGAAACACAGGGAATTCAGGGCAGATGATCCCTTCAGGACCAGTGGTGTGAGTGGCGATACTGGGAGGGTAGAGGGAGGGTGAGTTGGAAAAGGGGAACCAATTACAAGGATCTACATGTGACCTCCTCCCTGGAGGACGAACAACAGAAAAGTGGGTGAAGGAAGACGTCAGACAGGGCAAGATATGATGAAATAGTAATTTTTAAATTATCAAGGGTTCATGAGGGAAGGGGGAGCGAGGAGGGAGGGGAAAAAATGAGGAGCTGATGCCAGAGGCTTAAGTGGAGAGCAAATGTTTTGCGAATGATTAAAAAAAAAAAAGATATAGTGTCTAGGATCTTAAAGACTTGAAGGTAAACAAGCAGCCATCTAGATCAGAAGCAACAAAGCACACATGGAAGAAACATATCAGCCTGCGTGATCACGAGGTGCTAAAGGGATCCATTATCAGGCATCAAGGAACAAAAAACCATCACTGTGTGTTCACTTCCCAGATATGTGTGCTGAAGACAAATGGGTGCACAAGCAAATGTGGTGAAGAAAGCAGATGGTGCCTGGCTATCAAAAGATATAGCGTCTGGGGCCTTAAAGGATGGAAGGAAAATTGCTTTTATAAATGTGCAGTTTAAAAAAGTGTATCAGAAACTTCTTAAACTGACTTTTCTGAGAGGAAACGTTTTGGGGGGTTTTTTGAGAGGAAATGTTTTAATTAAAAAAAAAACAAGCCCCTGTAGGTTCTCATGGCCCAGTATAGAAGTATACTGTATCATAACAGAATTAGGTAATATAAACTACTTTCCTCTGGAGATCAAACTGATTTGAAAATCAGCTCATCTGTGATAAAAATGATACAGCCAAGAACAGTTCCTTCATGATCAAAGTCAGATACAATTATCTCAAAAATAATGTACTTATGGCAAACAGGTATTATCAAAGAACTTGCTTAAATAATGTGTGATGCAAAAGTACACCTGCAAAAAAAATCCAAACACATGTCACATTTCTCTCATCTATGGACTGAACAAGAACCCAAGGTGATTTTAATGCTCTCATGTAAACATCTGATTACCAATCTAAGGATTCAGAACTACCAAGAAACAAGCTACAATGCAAAATACCTTTTAGACTGAAAGAGGTTGAAAAAATTTAAATCTACTAGGTGTTTTATAAAATGTGACATTTTTGGCAACTTGAAAATCATAGCCCAACATTATAACATGTGCATATTTGTCCAAATCGTGATGCTATACAAATTCTCAATAAACAAAAGATGTTGGAACATCAACTACTGCCTTGCCAGAAGTATAGAAAATGTTTATTTACATTTCACTGCAATGCTTTGCTAGCTTGAGTTTTTAAAAGCTAGCTTGTGTCAAAGATTAGTAGGAAATCTGTAGATTGTTTTTTTTCTCTTTTAAGGAGGAAAAAGAAATTAGTTGCAAAACCAAGGGGGTAAAGGGGTCCTCAACCTTGGGCAAAGTCAGCCTCTATTTTGCCACAGAAGCATCACCTGAGGGTCATGAGAGAGAGGATGCCACGGTTTTACAGTCTTCACACACTCGTCTGTAAAGACAGCCTCCCGCTCCATGACGCTCCTAGGCCCCCTGAAATAGAAGCTGGTCACAAAAGGTTATGTCTGTAATAGTGCAGAGAGAAAGAGGGATTCATTGTTATTCTGATGCTGACCCAGGTTTCTGTCTTTGAAAACCCCCAAATCTCCAAGGGACGTGAAGTTTGCAAGTTAATCAACTGGCTCCTTCGTATTTGTTATCACCCCTCTTTTCTCTCTTACATATGCAGCATAAACAATTCTAGTCCAATTATTTCCTCTGCAGCTGAATGGATTTTTAGTTTTGCTCTAGATTTGTTCTCCACCCCAAGAATTAAAATTTCATAATGTGCTCACAAGTCAGTATTTATTCCAATTTCTCCTAAAGCATAGGTCATACACTTTCAGAATAACTAGCCAAAAATCACACGTGTTGAATTCAAAATGATCTACCATCTCTGAAAACCCTGACAATCTCCACTGAGTCTCTGGCCTCCTCATTACCACAGCATGGCCAAGTTAACCATGCCGGGCAGCACAGGCTTTCAAATGTTCCTAATGGCCAGCTAAGGGGGCAAATGCTAAAGACTTGCGCTGACCTTGAATTCTAGAGCTTTCCGCTGGCTCCATACCCACAACTACCCTTTTCCCCCCAGTTGTAGAGCTTGTGTCTGTCAACCAGACACGCTTTTACTGGTGACAGACACAGCCTGCAGAGGTCATGTTGGTGCTGGCATCTCATGACCCATCGTCTGAGTCTCGATTTCCTCAAGTCAGGAGGTTTTCTTCTATTTTCTTCTCCACCTTTCACACCCTTGGCATAGTCCTTCCAAAAACTATAAGCTTAACAAGGTGTTTCACTCACCAGCGAGGAAGTGCTTAGGCCCCTTCAGGATTCTCTAAGTAGGCTAGCAACCTGTTTAGCCTCTGACTGCACAACCTTAGACAAGGTCCAGGAGACTGTCACCTATAAAAAACCAAAACAAAATGGGAGAACACTAATCAGCCCAAGTCGCTCAAAGTGCCATACTGAGTCTCATCCAAACTTACCACCATCTAGCTGATGCTGACTCACAGGGAGCCTATCAGGCAGACTAGAACTGCTCCGTGAGTTTCTGAGACTGTAACTCTTCCCAGGAATAGAAAACCCCATCTGTCTTCCTCAGAAAGGCTGGTGGTTTCAAACAGCTAACCTTTTGGATCACAGCCCTATGCATAACTGCTACACCACCAGGGCTCCTCCTCACGAAGCAGAGTAAAACCCCAAAGACAGCCCAGCACTCTCGCTCGCTACACATCGGCAATGTTCTTGTAATGAAGGTGAGGGGTGGGCAATCTTGTGGGTCCAATGGCCACCAGTGGAGCTGTGATGTGGGACCAGACAGTAGATGGAGACATAAAAAAAGAGGAGAAGGAAAAAAGGAAAGAAAAAAGCAAGTGGAATCACTAAAAGGTTTCTAGGATCACAGCTAAGACCAAAAAAACCCAAACACTGCTGTCAAGTGCACAGGGCCAGGCTGCCCTAGTCGGTTTTAGAGACTGTCAGGCTTTTAGGGAGTAGAAAGCTTCATCTTTCATCCAGGGAGTGGCTGCTGATCTCAAACTACTGACCTCTCAGTTACTAGCCATGATGTTCTGATATCTTTTGGAATGTCAGGGGCCTTTGCATAAAGCAGTGACAGCTGGGTGTGAGTACGCGGATTTTCCCATGACACCCCTACATGTGCTTGCTGCCGGAAAATGTGCACCCAATGGCACCCTGGCCTTCTCGGTGTGCCTCCCTGACTAGGGCAGGGCTCCTGCACCAGAATCTGGAAAGCTGTCTCTAGGCGGCTTCACATTCCCTAACCGTACCTCTTGGGATCCCCAATCTCCACACGCAACAGAGCAGTGGCAAGTAGGTGACCGACAAACACGTGAGCAGGATTTCCTACAGCTCCTTTCCACCTTTTGAACCAGCCAGGGGCAGAGCAGCAGACGACAAAGGCCGACGCCCGCCCAAAGGGAAGCACAAGAGCCACGCACACCAGACGGCTTGGAGAAGTCCCTGGAAGTATGCAATGTAAAGACCATGGAGCCTTCCCACACCATCTTTAAAGCCCCTCCTACAATTGTACAATTTCCGGAACCCACACTTGGGGAAACAGAAATCATTAGATTACATTGGTTTTAACAATATATTTGATTTTAACTTGATGGATCATCATTTGAACATATGAGCGATATAAAAATTATCATACAGGTAGTCTACGTCCTTTTTGGGGGGTACTCTTTGAAATCTATGGTATATTTATTTTACACTTCTAGTATTTCAAACACTAAATTTTCATCAGAAATGCCCAATGTATGCTTCCCAACTGAAAACCAAACACTGCCAGCCAGTCAATGCTGACTCATAGTGACGACGCCCGGCGGGTTTCGAAGCTGCAGCTGTTTATGGGAGTAGAAAGCCCAGTCTTAGTCCCTCGGAGCTGCTGGTGGGCTCAAGCTACCGCCCGTGCACATTGCAGCCCAATGCGTAACCACTACACTACAGCAGCTCCTGTATCTATCCTTACATGTCCAATTCTTACAGGCTGAAAAGTAGTAGTCTTTTCCAAACATACTTGAAAGTTTTCCGATACCTGACTCTAGTGTCACTTTTATAAATTACATTTAAAATTCAGCTCCCCATGCCACGAGACAGATTTCATGTACTCAATAGCTATGTGTGGCTAATGGTTGTTATAATGGACCAGGCAGATATAATCCTTTCTCTGGCGCATTCTCTGAAAACTGAACCAGGGTAAATGATGTCACAAAGTCAGCCAAACCGTTTTCTAGCACCCACCGGCTGTCTAACACTAGGCCAAGCATTTTCTGCCTCCCTTTTAATCCCTGAACTGCCAATATTTCCGTGGTGGCCTTTTATTAAGCAGCCCCTCTCAAAGAATAATTCTTTTAACTATGAAAGGCACACCTTCATGCGGGGAGAGAACGGAGGCACCAAGATACAGAGGGATACAGTTAATATCCTAGATAAAGGTGAATAAAAGCCGGACACCGTTACTTCTTTGTCCAGGACATTAGACACGCTGCAAAAGTTAGAATCATTGTTTATAGGGAGCCTGTCCACTTACACCTTCCCAGCAGCTGTATCCGCATCTTCAGCTTCTCCGGCTCAAGGGCTCCCTCCTAGCCAATCCTCTTCTCCATCTACAGCAGACTCTTGGAGAGCACATTCCAGGAGCCACTCTTTAATTTATTCTGGAAAGTGCTTGTTATTGTTGACATGCTGAAACATATGAATAATTCAACAAATGAATCTCAAACCATCATATTAATCATTCATCGGCTTCGGTGCCCCAAGTCTTTTTTGTGAAAAGCTTTTCTGAAATGCATGGAAAGTCTCTCTCACCCTTCCCCAAAGGAACCAATTACAAATACCGCAGCTCTCTCTCACCTCTCATTCTCTGGGTCAAAGTTCCCGTGTCCCTCCCGCGGCTGATGTAAAAGTTGATCTGCTAAAGGAGCCCGGATACCTACGGTAGTTCTATTTTCAGCCTCTTCCTGTTCTGAAGCTAAAGTTGGAAGGGCTTAGGTGGTAATGTCACAGAAGAGAGATTGCTAGCTGTCATGAGGGTCTTCAGCAACTCTGTTGTGGTTGTGGTTGGGCGCCCCTGAGTGGATTCTGACTGATAGTGACCCCAGGTCCTGAGCAAGAGTGGAGAGCCGTAATCTTTGCTGGAGCTGATCATTAAGTCTTCTTCCCACAGAGCTGCATGGGTGGGTTTGAACCACTGACCTTAAGGTTAACTGCCCAGCTCTTAATCTAGCATTTGTTTAACCTTGCCCTTCCCTCCATGTAGAGTCCTTGTCTTTCACTAGTCAGCAAGAACACAAGTTCAAGAATAACTTAAAAGTAAGCATGCAAATATATTTACATGTTTTGTTAACTATCCAATACAGGAAGAGTGGCAGGAAAGTAGATGCTCCTCAGGGAGAAGGGTGCCCATCTCTTCCCTCCCTGCCCTCTTCTCCATCTACCAAAGGACAAGGAGCCCAGAGTGCATGCGAGCGGCTAGGAAGAATTATGGGAATATAAACTAGGAAAAACCTAGTGAGGGAAATGATGTTGGAGATATTCAGGAAAGGGGGAGAAAAAAAAAAGGACCCTTGGGTCCCTGGGCTTTCACTGTTTCTCCTCCTTTTAGGAGTGGTTAGACTTGGGCTTGGGTGTGCCTTCAGCTTGGGAGGTGGCTTTTTGGGTTGTTATGGTGTGTTTTTTTTTACTCTAGGGAACCAAGAGAGGCCGGGTGGGGATCAGAGAGAGCCAGAGGCTGCTTAGGCCGGGTTCAGGGCTCAACTTTTAGTCCATAGCAGGCCTCTGGGGGAAAACTTACAAGGATTTAATTAGGAGAGAGGTGGGGGAATGGGGTCACTTCGCTCAGCCCAAGGCTAGCAGTTAGTGGCTAACCTGTGGGGTGGAAACCCAGCGGGAAGCGGAAAAAGAGAACTGGGTCTATCTGTAGATCACAAGTTGCACCGGAGGGTGGGGGACGGTGAGGCTGAGGTTGGGCAATCAGCAGGTGAAAGCAGCACTTTGGGGCCAATTCGGAAGTAGGAACCGAGATGCTAAGAGGGACAAGGATTCCCCAGCTTCAAAGCGAACTTCTCCGAAGGAGGACTAAGCATAGGTGTGGTGGTTCTCAAGGAGGGGCAGTTAGTAAGTGGCTGAAGGAAGAAGGGAGGGAAGGAGAGAATTCCTGTCCCAAAAGGCTGGCAGAAACCCTGGGGTCAGCTACAGCCAGGAGCCTGGAGCTAGCATTCTCTGCCAAGCCCCTACCCCTTGCAAAAAACTGACCTCGACCAGCAGAAATTACGACGCACCCCCTCCCCAATAATGTTTCTAATGAAGGAAACTGCCTCTCAAACCTACATTAAAAAACAACAAACCCTGTGAGCTCTGGTTGATGGAAATAAACAGGTGAGCCTCCAGAGAAGCGGGAAAAGATTGGGGATGGGAGAATGGGAGGGCAAGAACGTGCCAAGAAATCCCCCCCGCCCTCCCTCCACACCCCTTCCCCTCCTCCCCAGGGGAATTCGCGTAGCAGGTTGCTGGCGAAAAATGCCAATTTGACAGCCCCCCCCCAGCCTGTGCCTACTCTCTCTCCTACCCCGCGG